CTCTCTCTCTCTCTCTCTCTCTCTCTCTCTCTCTCTCTCTATATATATATATATACACATACACACACACAATAACACATGATTCACTATTTTTTACCTTTCTAACAATAAAAACTTAGAAATTATTCTATAAGTTCACCTCATTTTTTTCTTTTCTGGTGCTGGGGATCAAATTCAGGGCCTCACATGAGCTCTACCCTTTATAAAATAAAAGAATGAACTATCTGAGAAAAGAAATAGAGGGCTGGCGATGTAGCTCAGTGGTTCCACTGCCTGCCTCGCAAGTGCAAGGTCCTGATTTTGATCCCTGGTACCCCCCAAAAAAATAAAGAGCCAGGGATTTAGCTCAGTGGTTTTGCCACTGGCTGCGCAAGTGCAAGGACCAGAGTTCGATCCCCTGTAGGAAAAAAAAAAGACATAGACACATTTTTCAGAAGAAGGCATTCATTAATGCTTAAAATTAAAAACAAACAAAAATATGATTAATACATGCTTAGAAAACTACAGGAGGAATTAATGGCAGCTGCAGCATTCAGAGCTTTCCCTTGTCTCTGCTTTTTTGGGGGGGATAATGGGGATTGAACTTGGGACCTTGTTCTTGCGCGGCAGGTGCCAGATGTCTCTTTTTCTTGGTGAGACAGGGTCTTGCTAGGTAGTCCAGGTTGGCCTTGCCTTGAACTCACGGCGATCCTCCTGCCTCAGCCTCCCCAGTGCTGGGATTACAGGCCTGCACCATAATTACAGCCCTAACCTGTAGTTTGTAGCCAGCTGATTATTTTAACAGTCAACTCTGATTCTTTGCGTCATTGTATTCATTTTCCCATTTCACAGCTGTATGTAGATCTGCATCTCTGTTGTTGGAGTATAGGTGCCCACCTCACACAGTTTCACGAGTTGCTCATTTCAGGGTTCCTTAAGGGGAACACTGGTGGCGGTGATCTGTCAGCTCCTTTGGACAGTCAGCAGTGTGCAGGGCTGTGTCACTTGTTTCATAGTTGGACTTCCTCTCGTGTGCTTTTCAGAGAACGTCACGGTCATCCCTCACCAGGTGTACCAGCCCCTCGGGCCTTGTCCTTGCAACCTGACAGCCGGGGCCTGTGATGTCCGCTGCTGCTGTGACCAGGTTCGTTCTTTCTGATTACTGGGCACAGAGGATTGCTGCCACCTGGATCACTGTGGTCGAGGCCAGGCTGGGCCACACAGTGAGTGGAGGCTGTGCCACCGCCATCTCACCTCTGCTCTGCAGGACTGCTCGCAGGCTGCGAGGCAGCTGTTCCGAGACGCCTGTCTCCCAGGCGTGTTCGGGGGTGAGGTCAGCCCTCCCTTCGACCAGCTGTGCATGGCGGGGACCGCAGGCCATGTCCCCGACTGGTTCCCCCTCCTGTGTGTGCAGTCCTCACCAGTCAACTCGCCCTTCCTCGGTCACTTCTATCACGGCGCCATGTGAGTACCCGAGCCACCGCCTGGGAGGGATCCGTCCCCGGGGCCCTTAGCTTGGGTCTGTGTGTCCTGTGCCCCAAAAGAGTGGACTCTAGATTTCAGCGAGCAAGTACAGAGCGGGGCTTCACTGGAAAGCGATCAGTCAGCCCGGCAGAGAGGTCCTAAGGATTTTCTCAGGTGGGGACAGGAGCGGTGGGCCCATGAAGGACCTCAACTTTCTGTATTTTACAGTTCTGTCTTGTTGAAAATTAACAACCATGTATATTTTTTTGGTAATTAAAGCTGTGGGTGGTGGCGGACATCTGTAATCCTAGCACTCAGGAGGCTGAGGCAGGAGGATTACTGTGATTTTGAGGTCAGCCTGGGCTATGTAGCGAGACTTTGTCCCAACAAAACAAAACAAAAGTAAAGAAAAATGTAAAGCAACAGTGGTACTTTAGCACTGATAGCGGTAGCGACGGTCTTTTCTGTGGATTGCAGTTCCCCGAGACACCAGCTTGGCTTCGAAGCCTCTCTGCACACTGTCCCCAAACTCGCTGCAGACTCTGGGTACAAACAAGGAGACCCGATCAGGACCAGGGAGGAGAAGGGTTATTACTTCACTGTACCGCAGGTGAGGACTTGAATTCGAATGTGCCAGACTCTGCTGTTATCCCCTCCCCTGTTGGCAACATAAGTCCTCTTTCTCTGGAAGATTTCTCCCCAAATGACTTGTGGATTTTCCAGGGACTTAACTGCTAATGGTTTTTGGATTTAAAAAACAAAGTCCCTTTAAAGTTTATCACTGTCTTTGCTAAATTTCAAAATAAACCTGAAATATAAAAACCAAATGATTGTCTATAAATTTTCATGGAAGTTATGATTATTCTTCATTTCTATTAGTTTATCTTTGTTTTTTTTTTGTACCTGGGATTGAACTCGGGTTTTTGGGCCTGCGAGGCAGGTGGTAGAACCACTGAGCTAAATCCTCAGCCGCTTCTATTAGTTTAATTGCCAGTTTCTTTTCTTTTTTAAGGTTTATTTATTTATTTATTTATTGGTATTGGGATCCAACTGGGATCCTTGCGCTTGCAAGGCAGGCGGCAGAACCACTGAGCTAAATCCCCGGTTCTTT